TGTTGCCAAAACGTGTGTATATTTGATTATTTGTACCTATTTGTTGAACGTAACACCGATTGCGAATCGATTGCTATCCGATGATACTGTTCGTCAATATATACCAAATAATAAGTTATACCAATAATACTAAATATAATACAAATAAACGCCAATGAATTGGATCATTGAAATTATCACTGGGTCTGTGTGAGAGAAAATTGGGGAGCAAGGCTGTAATAAGAGGTCCAGAGCCCAGCAGAGGGTTGTGGACTTATGGGAATGCATTGTTGACTACATATTTTTATCGCAAGCAGAGAGAGATAATTTAGAAAAAGCCTAAAGGGGGGACTCAGAGGAGTCATTCTAGTAGAGTCAGAGGACTGGATTACTGGATATCTGGATCACTGGAGGGGAGTGGGGAGTGGGGAATGGGGAGTGGGGACTGGGGAGTGGGGGCAGGGGAGTGAGGGCTGAGGACAGTACTGGCCTGCTGGGCCCTGGGCCCTGGGCCCTGGGCCCTGGGTCCTGGGGTCTAGGGTCTGGGGGCTGGGGACTGGGCCCTTTGGGGCCTGGGGGCTGGGAAGGCTCGGGAGGGGTCCAAGACTCTGAGAGTCCGAGGGAGGGAATCTTTTCTAGATTTTCATATTTGTGATTATGTCAAAATACTCGATGGGGTGCTAATCTCTGATCTCATACGTTTTACTAAAATTGAGGAATAAATACATATATTTAGTACTAAGGCCCAGTCTTAACGGGTTCGAATTTCTACACCAATAGGTATAGGGTAATTTTAAAAGTTCAAGATAAAGCCAAAAAAAATCTGAACGAAATTTCCGAACGAGGTCAATCTTTCGAGGGCAAAAATACCCCTCGAGAACTTTTACGTTCAGATCGGATTACGGGATTCGGAAAATTTAGGAAATGTGATCAACTTCACAAGCTTTGTGATTGGCCAATAATAATATCCGATTACTGTGATCTTTATTCGAAGTGCTGTTTGTCACTGGTTCGTGACGCAAATGTGCTAATTCTTGTTCACTACTGCAATGTGACATCGAACACTCGTTCAGTGATATGCATTCGCAATCCGGTTCTTCCAGATCATTGATATTCTCTATACTGGCCAAGTCGTATGACTGTTTATACATAACACACTTCTCATTTTTGTATAAATATATTTAAAATGATATAAATATGCATAATACCTGTGTATTCTGTTCTCTGCAGGTCTCTGTACTTACCGTATCATAAAATTCATTTTAAAAAATTCATAGCCTTCTGTTTCTGAAAGCAGAAAATCACACAACTGTATACATACTAAAATAAAATATGTATTCTATTGTATTGACTCCCTATATAAAATATGAATACACACACGTGAAGAGTAAAACATATTTTTTTGTGAAAATAGAGTATGTATCAACAAAAACCAGATGGCAGAACTTCCGAAGTCTCTGTCCCAATTCCGCATTTGACATTTCCCTACATCACACAAGATATGTCCCGAATCCCGAATCACAACCCAATACCACGGGATTCCGCTCTCTTCGCTACTCTCACACACACTCCCAGAGAGAGAGAGAGAGAGAGAGAGAGAGAGAGAGAGAGAGAGAGAGAGAGAGACGACACTACTACTACTACTCGTACTACGTTACGTACGTACGGTACGGTTACGTACCGTACGTACGTAGTAGTAGTAGTAGTAGTACGTACGACGAACGTAACGTAACGTAACG